CATTCTTTTATCTTGGCCGGAGTGTTACTTAGCATATTTTTTTAAATTAATCCAGGGCAGGTCTACCAATTAGCATGACACTTCTTTCTTTTTAAGGCTACCACTGGTTAACATACTTAAAAGGACTATACACAGCCTGAACTGAAACGCTTTAGTGGGTACCTCCTTTGGTATTTGATAAATGGGTCTTATCCCCAAACTATTTATTATTTGTAAGTCTCAGTTCCAGTTAGAGTGTATTCCTGGAGCCTTTAAATCATGTAGTATGATGTGCCCATCTCTAAAGCAACAGGTGAACTGCACTGGCTTCCTCCAAAGGCGACAGCTGAGAATGTGGCTCTAAAAACTGCCTGGACATGTATCCTTTCTAGTAAGGGTTGAGTGTGACTCTTACATTTAAGCCAATATTCCTCATCCCCCTCTCCCCCAATGGAAAGGAAAGATTTTATTCATTTTGAGTCATTACCCTTATAAAGGATTTTAGTTTTTCAGGTCACAGGAAGTGATTTTGGGTTTTTTGTTTGTTTGTTTGTTTGTTTGTTTTCCATGCAGATTTCAGTAAATTCATGTGAAGATTTCTCATCCTTATTAATTTTGTTTTTCTCAATATGAACTTTGCCTTTTTATAGCTTTGAGCTATAATTGATATTTAACAAACCGCACACATTTAAGTGTACAGTTTACCAAGTTGTGACATGTTTACATTCCTGAAACCATCACCACAATCAGCATAAGGACTATGTCCACCATTCCCAGAAGTTTGTTCATGTCCTTTGTGAGTGATCCCTCCCCCGGCCCCCAGATAACCACTGAGCTGCTTTCTGTCACTGCAGATTAGTTTGCATTTCCTAGAATTGTATGTAAGTGAAATATAATATGTATTCTTTTTGTCCGACTTCTTTCATTCAGCATAGTTATTTTGAGGTTTCATCCATGTTACTGCGTGTATCAAAAGTTAATTCCTGAATCTGAATGGATATTTGGGTTGTAGCTAATTTTTTTTATTATTACAAATAAAGCTACTATGAATATTCATGTACAAATCTTTGTATATAGCTTTTCATATCTGTTGGGTAAATATATAGGTGTGACATGGCTGTGTCATGTGGTAGGCACATGCTTACCTTTTTAAGAAACTGCTTTCTAAATTGATGGCAGCATTTGTACCTTCTCACCAGTGATACATATTTCCATTTGTTTCACATCTTCACCAACTGGTGCATAGTCAGATGGTCAGTCTTTTTAATTTTAAGTCATTCCAGTGGGTTCATTTTGGTATTAATTTGTATTTCCGTAAGGACCAATGATGTTGAGCTTCTTTTCATGGGCATATTTGCCATCCATATATCTTGAGATGCCTATTCAAATATTTGCCCATTTTTTAATTGGGATTTTTTATTGTTGAGTTTTGGAAGTTCTTTATATATTCTGGATACAAGTCCTATATCAGATACATGCTTTGCAAAGATTTTCTTCTAGTCTTTTAGTGACTTGTTTTTTTATTCTCTTAACGTTGTCTTTTGAAGAGCAGTTTTAAATTTTTATAAAATTCAATTTATCAGTCTGTTGTTTCATATGTTGTCAATTTATCAGTCTGTACTTTTCAGTGTTGTAGCAGGGAATTTTTGACTAAATGTCATGAGTATTTTGTCTGTGTTTTCTTTTAGCATTTTTACAGTTTTAGGTTTTACATTTGTATCTATGATCCACTTAAAGTTAAGTTCATATATGGTGTGAAGTATGAATCCGGGTTCTTTTTCTCTTTTTTGTATATAGACAAAAAAATTTTCCAGCACCGTTTATTAAAAAATAAATTTTTTGGTGAAATTATTTTTTTCTAATTATAAAAATAAGACACTTATAAAATACAGAAGAGTATAAAGCCAATATATTGCTAATTTTTATATATATATATAACTTACCCAGGTTCATTTAAGGGTGGGGGGGGGGGGGAAGGTGTGTAGTTCTAAGTATGTACTTTACAAAATTAGAATCATGGTGTATTCTGTGTCCTACTTTTTAAAAATTTAGCGTTTTATAAGTATTTTCCATGTGATTTAATTAATATTTGTTAAGTGCCAATATTTTTAATGGCTGCATAGTTATTCTGTCATATAGGTATATCATACTTTACCCCTTTCATTAGACTATCAATTTTTATTATTTTAAATGTTTTTTAAAATTTATTTTCAATTGTATATGACATACAATAGTATTGGGTTGTTGGAAAAGTCATGACATATTTTTTCTATGTTTTTCATTGCAAAAATGCATCATGACTTTTCCGACACCCCAATATATTTGTTTCAGGTGTACAACATAGCGATTAGACGTTTATATAACTTACAAAGTGGTCACCCCAATAAGTCTAGTACCCACCTGACACCGTACATAATTATCACAATATTATTGACTATATTCCCTATGACATTTTTATAAGTGGCAGTTTATACTTTTTAATACCTTAGAACACACTTAAATCTTTGTTTCTCATCTCGTTTGGGGAGAGGGGCTTAAATTTTTAGAAATGAATTATCAGGTCAACAAACATTAAATGTTATACACAAACATTTAAAAGGCTTTATTACATATTTCCACAGTGTGTTCCAGAAAAGCTTCAACAATTTAGACCTGCACCAACAATAACTAAGAAATTGAATTCTTTATGGCAAGTTTGGTTTTTGTGAAACCTTCAGGGATGCCCCTGGACACCCCTCTCCTGTTCTCTGCACGGCCTCTGATCTTGCCTCCTGTCCCCCGGCCAAGTACCTTCTCCTCCCTCATGCTTACCAGATAGATGACCCTTCTACTTGGCACTGGCAAAGCTAAGCGCACTCCTTGCCCCTTTGCCAAAAAGCTGACCAGGATGACTGTATGTCCCTCCTAAGTGAGTAAAGCAGCCCCTTTTCTTACCTGAGACGAAAACCTCTCCCTTTTTTCTGGCCCCCATTTGCCTTGTTGCCCAGAATGGTCCATTTCTTCCCTGCTTGTTGATCCTTAGCACATAAGGCTTCTCTTGTCTCTCCCACCTGGTATCCTGAGTTCCCCTTGAGCCACTAGCCTACCTTCTTGCTCAGCTTTCAGTGCATAACTCTTTGAAAGAAAGCATCCTCTTTCTGGAAGTCATTACCTTGTCACTCAACGGGTTGTCCTCATTTAGGTGTTTCTCCCTCTCCCTCCTTCTCCCATTCTCTCACTCCTGTCCACCTCACCCCATGCTCTTTCTTGCTGAAGTTTGGTGTCTTTGTGCCTAAGGGGTGAACTCTATGCAAGAAAAAGCATGAAGTGGTTTTTGCCCCTTTTCCTTCTCCTTGAAGCTCTGTGTCTGCCCCGCCCCCCCTTAAAGTACCCGGTTCCCTCTTATAGTGGTGGTCATTAGACTCCAGCGTGAGTGAGCCAGTAATTTGGTTTGAATCTGTCTGTAAACTATACAACTATCTTTGTCCACCCTCCTATCTTTGTTGATGTTTTCAGGCATGTAAGTGGCCTTTTTTTAGGAAGTGGTGGTTTTTGCCGGCTTGCAGCTCTGCTCTGGACTACTGCAGCTCCCATCTCTTGCATCTTACTTGTGACAAGCATCCCTTACTTTCTCCCACTCTCCCCCACCCCAAGTACTTGTTCTTGCTGCTTTCGATGCATTCTGTGTCTTACAGTTGCCCCCCTTCTATCACAATATCCCAGACATTGGGCTTCAGTGCGCTTTTCTCATTTGCATCCTTACAATGTCTATGAGTTATGCTGCACTCGAGCCAGAAGGTCATCGTAGAATCTATCATAATCCTCACTTCTAACCTGCGGGTTCTGATGACTAACTGGCATGCCCCCACACACCACCTTTTTCCTCCCTTCCTTTATTGTATATTCTTCAAGGCAAAAATCCATAGTATTCTTTTCCTTTTCTGAGCCTCTATGGTACTTGCTGATACCATATAGTATTGTTTTCACTATTGATTTGTCACTCTAATCCTGCTTTGTGGCACTTTCATATTATTTAACAGTCATATTGCTTAGCTTGACATAAGATATCTATTCAGGAGCTACAACTATAGTAGCTTGTACAAGTATGCTCCTAGAAAACAGGGGCCATGTCTGTTTGCATGCCCAGTAATTCAAATTGGTGCCATATGTAATAGGTGTTAATAATGTTTATTATATAATGTCAGCTATTTATCTTAATAGAGTGAGTGGTAGCCACGTATAATTGAGTATTGACTCTCTGGTCTAGGGAAAGGAAGCCAGTGATGTCTGTGTAGAACTCCTGGCATTCATTTTTTCTCTTGGTTATTGCCCATAGAGGTAGGTTTTCACTACCTGCCCCAACAGAATGAAGCTGAGGATAACCCCAAACATTGAGTACTTCAGAATGCATTTTGGTTTTTCTTTGTTGTTGAAGATGGACTTGCCGCCAATGAATTCACTTTAAAATGAGTAGTGCTCTTATTAAAAAGACTGATTCAGGAGCCAAGCACTTGCCTATCTCCTCATTCTGCCTCTACTTCAGGGCGCCAGTGGTGTGCACCCTTCCCTGTGAACAGAACAGATGGCCTGGGGAGCACACTCGTCAGGCAGGGTTTCTCCCTCAGCCAGTGTTCAGAAGAGATGCACACCTCGAAAGCCTTTTCTGAGAACTGTGAGACAGAGGAAATCATGATGTGTTTAGAATATAAATGAAGAAAATAAGCAGCCATTTTGAGAAATGGCAATAGACTTGAATTAATATTTTACCAAATAAAAATATAAACAATTTAGATAACTGTGATTCAGGGGGAAAATATATAAATCTAGGGATGTGGATTTGTTTAGTTTTCATTTTTCAATGTACTATAAATTTTTTGTTACACATTTGTTTCTAACAAGATTTGAGATAGGTTTTCCAATAAAGAAAAAATATAAAGAATATGAATAACTGATAATGAATGAAAAACAATTTGGTTCACATGCCATTAACCAGATTGGGTCTGACTTTTGGAATTTCAAACTAACTCTTCTTTTCTTTTTAGGTTGCCTCTTGGTGCTGCATTGGCTGTATTTGGCACCCAGAATGCTTCATTCTATCATGGTCTATTAATAAGGTTACCTTGCTAGAGTTTGGAGCAGGGCCTCAGGTAGGTGGCTTTTATCATTATATGGCATGGCTTTCAAAGTGATCAGTCATTCCAGTTTCTAAATAATATAAGATAAAATAGTAAAAGCTTTGAAAAGCATGCCACATAATAAGCATGCCACTTACTATTTTAAGGTCTGTCAGTATATATTGTGTTCAGTGGGTTTTCATTAATAGTTACGGTCTTAATGGAAGGATTGGAATACTGACAAGGAGCAGTCTTCCTTACTCTGCACAAAATGCATAGCTGCTATAAAAGCTTATTTACTCATGTCCTCAAATAGCCCACAGATGAACTCTTAAGCTCTTCTTTCTGGGGATCCTACTCAGAGTAGTAGACTATCCCGTGTTACCACTGTATCTCTTTCTGTCTACGGGGAAGGATCTGATTAACTGTGAGCAGGTGGGGAGGAAGGCTAACTCTGCTTGCTGGAATGGGACAGATGCTAGAACAAGGAGCTCAGGGGGACAGCAGGCAGTTTGCTAGCCCTTGTTGGAAAGAGGACACACAGGATCTAGATTTCCTAACCTGTAGATGCAGCTCAGTGGCACAGAGTCAAGGTGTAGTGATACTTGGAAATCAAGTATACATGGATTTCGCTCCAGGTAAGTCTGTCAGCAGGACCTCAAACACAGGATTAAGGGTTAGAGGCCAGGACCCTCAGCCCTAGGATGGGAAGGTTGGTGAAAACAAAGATGGCTGTGCCAAGTGCCAGAGGATGGGCTCAGACTCCACTGACAGCAGGCAGGGGCCCAGCGCTGGGGAAGGAAAGGAGGACGTAGGCCGAGAGCCAGGCAGGTCCTCACAGTATACATGAACAGAGCTCTATAATCAAATAAAAGGTACATAAATTAATCTGGCAGAAATTCTCTAATCACAGCATTCTGTGGAGCTTAAGCATTAAAATCAGGTTAGCATAAAACTTTATAGTCATTTATATTATAGTTTTTAAATGAAAAGATTTTTTTTTAGTGTTACAGATTTTTTTTTCTTTTTCTACTTCATTGTTTTTAAATTTGTTTTTAACAAAGCTGTTTTTTTTGGCAGCTAAGAAAAAAAATTTTTTTTTCATTTCTTAGCCAACTACATTTACACAGATTTTCTCCTTTTTATCTCTCTCGTATCTCTGATATTTTCAACGTCCTCATCACATTTTAATTTCACATGGCGAACAACCTTTTTAAAGATTTTGAATTTTACTTTGTTCCTTTTTCCTTCCCATAAAATTTCATTGGCTGTTTCCAAACAGTAAATCATAATCAGTTTGGTTAACACGCGCTTAAGGAGCTATGGAATAGAACGTTTGAAAGCTGAAATGTTCTAAAAATCCAGGCCAACTGAGTGCTGCCCAGGTGTGTCTCCTTGCCCATCAGGATGCCTGCGGGCCTCCAAGTAGCACATGCCCAAGTCTCCCTAGCTTTCGACACCTACTGACAGAAACAGGACAGGCGCCCAGTGGTTGTGATGCTCCCCCAAGTCTCCACCCCTCCACCAAAGCAAACTTAACAATTTCATTCTATGGGGTTTGTCTTCTGAGTTTGCTTTAGACCAATTTGAGATTCCAGGAACCCCAAAACATGTTCTGCTTGTTTTGAGTCCTGAAATTCTTTAAAGGGACTATAGTTATGTTCGACAGATATTTATCAACTGTCTACTGCGTGCCAGGGCCCTGACCAGGTGCTGGGGATATAAGGATGAATAATAGGCTCCCCATAGATAAATTTATGGTCCCTGGGGAAAAACAGGGAATTTCCAGAAGAGCTTTACAGTCTGTATTTTAGGGGGAAAAGGCTGAGAGAGGTAAAGTTCCAAAGTTCATCTCACTCAAGTAAAATCAGTCAAATCTCTTCTAATTGTGACAGCCAGAGGAGTGCACAGGTCCTCTTGACAATTTTGCCTAGAACTGGTCCTGTTTACCTCAGTTATGTGGGAATAAATAGAAGTGGTTGTTTCCACAAGTGGTTTGTCCTGGACAGCCACATGGGCATAAGGGAGCACAGAGTAAAGGCACTTACAGAGCCTTACCTGGATGTGGGTTCTGTTTTCATTAGATTGTTTAGTGCCACTCAAAATTTTGCACACACAATTAACATTTATACCTGTCGTATACCATAGCACAAGCCTATATGTAAAGTGCACTTTACTTTGAGATTGCTTAAAGCTAATTCTCTGCATGAGCTTTTATAATTGAGGAAAATCTTCTTTCCTCATCACTTTTGCCATAATGTGTATTATTTCTGCCTTTGCATTTGAACTTATAGACAGATTCATTGTGAGGGCTTGGAGAGTTCAAACATGAAACCTGGATTATGCCGTATTTGTAATTTTAATAGCAGTAGACAGTTAACCATAAATGAATGGAGGCATGGCCTCCAAATGTTTGGGGTCCTTCAGTGTGAACATGTTTATGGGTGGTGTCAAGCATTTTTATTGTATACCCAGGAATTTGAGGGTTAGTGGTAATAAAAATAAAAACAACTCATTACAATTTGGGAACTATGCAGTTTTCAGATTGAGCTGACCTTTGAGCTACCTACTTTATAATCCTAGCCAGAGCACTATTACTTTGGAAATGCTTTATAGCAAAAAAAAAAAAAAAAAACCAGACAAAACCAGGAAAGCCTCTAAAAATGGTTAAATTTTTTATTAAGCAACCTTACTTTGTATTCAGATATAATTGCGATTCTTTTCTCTCTCAGGCATCATCGCTTCCCTTTTGCACATTCCTCTCTTGTTTTCTGTTTGCAAATACTTACTAATTGCCATATGTGCAGAAAACGAAAATATCCCCAGCGTACCACTAATCTGTATTTTCTAGTGTTTATTTTGATAAAAATCTACAACCATAGGGAGAAAAGTCCCCCGCATAGTAGTTAAAATGAAATGCTAATTTCTAAGTCATGGGTCATTAAAGAGGGTTTTTAAAGGAAAAGAAAAACTTTTTAACCAAACATGATATTTTTGCTCCATAAAATAATTAACCAAGGAAAATATTTCTGAATTGGAAGATAAAATTTATTTGAATATTCCATCATCATCAGATTGTCTGTTCATTGTCTCTGGGTACTCTAGAAAACAAAATAAACAAGCCATACCCAGGTTCAAGGTGGCCCAAAACGGAACATCCTATTAGTACAGATAAGAGAACTGACATTGGATTTTGTTGGTTCCACTTTGAAATTTATTGAGTTTTTTTTCTATTGGTTCTTAAAAACAAATAGGTCTGCTATTTCCCTTCACTTCTCTGTTAGCTTTTATATTAAATACATGGCTATCTAAGTATAGTAAGGCTAAATTTTAATGGTAAATTTCAAAAGGGTCGTCCTAGGACTGCATTTTAGTGAATTGCTCGAAAGTTGTAAATATCCAATACAGTAATTCAAAGAAAGCATCCTTGTTTTTGATTAATTTTAGTTAACTATGACATCAACTGTAGGAAAATAAGTACTGTCATTTTTTATATTCTGGATATAAGATACATTATTTGGGCACCTACTTACAAGTTAGGCAGGTCAGGTGCAGACCCTGTTCTTTGCCATGTCTCCTGCTTTGCAGTGGGCACTCCTGCTGCTGTCTCTCTCTTCTCTTACCTCATCAGCCCTGTCTAACCATAACCATCTAACCATCTAATGATCCTTCATGCTTCATGCCAGGCATGGATGCAGGTACCAGGCATGTTTTCACTTTAGAAATTTTTATTAGGAATGGGGACCAACTTGATATTATCTCCTTGTACTAACTGAGTCTTTAGCAGTAAGATCGATCAAAGAAGGCTTCTTTTCTAAAACAAAACAAGTATTTTAGATAGCGTTCATTACAGTTGCTATTGTTTTAACCTAAGACTTGACAAATAACTGCCAAGTTTCAAAATTACCTTTCTAGTGGCTTATTTAGTTTGTTGAACCAAGTTGTATCCATACTGTATTTTTTTTTTTACTGGAACATAGATATGTATATTCTGTCCTGTGTCTACTGTGGTAATTGAGCCAGCTTATAGTTCATTTTGTTGTTGGAAAGCACTTGCCCTGCTTTAATTATTTACATTCATGCGACAAAAATTTTACTTTTATTGGAAACAGCAGTGAATAAAACTGACACAGCTCCTGCCCCAATGCTGCCTACCATCTATTTTTGATTCTGTCTTAGATTTTATAGTTGCAAGATTTTTTTCCTTTCATTATTCTTTAATAAGTGATTTTACAGCACTACAGAAATTGAATGCTGTAAAAATTTCCACATTATCATACAGGATCAAAAAAAAATGTTCTAAATATGCTGTTGCCTTTAATTCAAAATTGGCTGTCTTCAATTACGTTTTCTTGTTAATAATTTTTTTCACATTATTCAAAGCCCTATTGTGTTTTAGACACATAAAGTATTAACTACTGGTAAGTTTCCTTTTGCAGCCTACCTATTTACTCTATATGAAAAACATGTTTCAAGCAAATGACATATTCTAAATTGTTTGCTAATGATGTTTTATGATTAACATAAAGGAGAATAAAGCTTTGATTATGTATGACATTTGCCCTTAATTAGCAAGGAATATGTTTGACTTTTAACTTAAATATGAAAGAATTATTGATGCAGGTAAGTGTTGTAAAAATTCACAGCTGTTAGAGAAATGACTATCAGAACTGTGGCATTTTATATATAGAAACAGCTTTAATACAGGTCTGTTCCTTAGCCAGCATCCACATAGGAATTTGTTTTAGTAGACCCTTGATGTATGATTCGGTTTTGCTGGTTATTTTTCTGTGTGAGTCACTGTTTTAGAATGTAAAACATAGGAAGATAAACCTGTGTGTTGCACACACACACAGAAAATATCCCCTTTAATTATTATTTTTATATATGCAAAGTTGTCCTAGGAAAAATGTTCTAGTACTAGCAAAAACTGGAAGGGTGTTCCAAAGAGCTGTTTCATCTTAGGGCAATTTGAAATGGGTATATGTGCATTTTCTATCTTATTTCACAATTCTTCAGATCAAGGCAAAGAAGAAGTTTAATCATTTGAAAACTAGAGTAACCAATCTTTGATACCTAAAAAAGAAAAACAGGAGTACAAATTTTGTTGCACACTTTTCAGAATATAGTCACAATGCCTTTTAAAAGTTTTTCTTAATCCTCTAAAGCAGCGGTTCTCAACCTTCCTAATGCCGCAACCCCTTAATACAGTTCCTCATGTTTTGGTGACCCCCCAACCATAAAATTATTTTCGTTGCTACTCTATAACTGTAATTTTGCTACTGTTATGAATAGTAATGTAAATGTCTCTTTGTTTTCCAATGGTCTTAGGGGACCCCTGTGAAAGGGTCGTTCAACCCCCAAAGGGGTCGCGACCCACAGGTTGAGAACTGCTGCTCTAAAGAGAATACACAAATAATTGTAGTTGACATTTATTTGGGATTACATAAATACAACCTTATTTTTTTATGTTTATTATATCAAGCCAAATAATAACTCTAATCAGCTCCTGGTTTCCTTGGTTTTGGGAAATAATTAGCAATCCTTTGAAATTATTTGGCTACTCAAAAGAACTCAAAATAGGTCAAATTTAGGGAAATTGCCATGACTTCGAAATTATGTTTTGTGATAAAATGAATGAAAATTATGGCTTTATTATTTTATTTCAGACTGTAAAATATATAATAAGGATAATTTGTAGACTATTGTAACATTTTAAATACAGGAAAACCTTGGATTGCGAGTAACTTGGTTTGCAAGAGTTCCGCAAGATGAGCAAACATTTCTGATACATTTTAACTTGGTAAATGAGTGATGTCTTGCAATAGAAGTAGTTTGTTTCTGGAATAAATTATGCTCGCAAACCAAGGTATTACTGTATTACATGATTTTAAGTTATATCAAAATGTTTTACTCTAAAAGATTTTTATAAATGCCAATGAACAGTAAGCATAAATAAAATTTGTGTGAGCGTACTTGAAATGGAATAAAATTTATATTGGTCAGAAAAAGAAGAAAAAATATAAAAATGTGTTGTGTGCTAGTCAACTTTGATTTTAGATTTTTTTTTCGATCCAAATCACTATCATCAGACAGATATACTAGTTATCATTTTAGCTGTTATTTAAAATTTACTTTATAAACTATATTAAAAGAAGCTTTTTACATCTTAAATTTGTTTCCTTTAAATTTGGGTGGTCATATGGACAGCTCTGATAGAGAAATTAGGCACTACCCCCCATTCTTGTCTTTTAAGTGTAATGAGAGGATTTATCTTCTTGCAAATTGATTTGCCAACCTGCCCTTCTAGAATGCAGTAGAATAAGAGCGAAATAGGTGTTTTAGGGCATAAACCCCTTTTTTGACCACACATATGCTGTCACGATGTTCAGCTTCTCTGGGCCTCTCACCTTAAAATGGCAATGATGATAAATGTGTCCGCCACTCAGGTCTGTTGAATTCCAGGGAGGTAATAGAGATGGAAACACTCTACACTTGTAAGGTATTTATATTATTAAAATAACAGAATACACCAAACAGACTTATATCTTAACCACCCTACCAAAAACTCAGTATGTGCCCTGGGCAAGTAAGTATTTACAAAGTTAATTTTATTATTTTGCAATTTTGATGTGCAGAATTCAGCTCTTACTTTATGCATGTCCTGTGCTTTACAAAAGAATGGAGCTTTTGCTTTAACTTTTTAAGTATCTTTTATTAGTCTAAATTTTTATTTTTCTTGTCTTTTAAACTATGAGAATAATGCTGCTTTCAAATATACCCTTAGTATTTTTGTAATGATGCTTGAATGTTCTCTATTAAATATTTTGTTTACACCTCATCAGATTCTTAAAATATATGAAAATTTGATTTCAGGGGAAAGTAATTAGATTTGTGTTTAGGACCTTCAGTAAAATTATTTTCATTTAATCTGTCATTGGTGAATCCCTTATCTTACTGTATTTTAACTATTTGATTTATATTATCCCTCTCAGGTTCTTATAATCATGATCCTGAATGTTCATCTTTGAAATACTCAGAGTTTGCTAAGCTTTCTGTGCTCTGTACTCGCTGTAATAGCTAATTCTACTTTTTTTCTGCCTTTTGGCCATTATTCTTTTCATATTTACTTGTACAATCAAGAATTATTAAGTTTTCTGTAAATTTCTTAATCTGCTGAAGATCATGCTACTAGTAGGCATTTGTAAGATATTTTAAGATTTTTTTCAACAATGATCTCTTAAAACCAAATGATGCTTTCTTCCTGACATCCCCTTCTGTAGCAAACCTGTATTTAACTTCCCTTGCATGCTTTTGAAATCTAAAGAGCACAGATTTATTGCTACATTTCAGCAGTCCTTACAGCATTCTGAGAGACAAATTGGCAGGTATCGTAGATAATAAGCCCAAGTTGCACAAGCGTGTACAGTGTGGGCATGCAAGGTCTGTCATCAGGAGGCTGCTGTTCTTTAGTGACGCTCCACATGCTCTCTCCAAGAGAACTGCGTTTGTCTCTTCCATATTGTTAGTAAGCTTCACGAAATTTTGATCCACTTGGTTTATAGATAGCAGCCCTTATATCCATTTCTCTCAGTAGGCAAGTTAGATTTAAAAAGTAAAATTGGGAAAGAAGTGGGGAGTCATTCAGCATCACAAAATGCCGTTTATATAGGTAATACTATTTTACTTTTTGTTTCTGATTTATTTGGTCATGTAAATGTGCTTAGAACTAATAAAAATTTGCAATTGGTGGAAATTAATGCATGACTCGTCAGCAGAGTATGGAATGTAAGCATGTGCCATGAAATTGCAATTCTTTTATCCTTTATTTTCCATGATTTACACATACTGGTTTCATTTAGAGTGTAGTCCATTCTTATTTTTTATTTCATAGATTGGCCAAAATGGGAAGGACTGGATTCCGCTCTCTTCCACGAAGAGTCAATGGGACTGGCTAAGATCAAGGTCTGAGGCTTTTTCCATCTGTCATCAGGTAAGCATTAAACAAAAATCATTACAGTTCTATGCATGTTTCTTGAAAGTATTTGATTGATATGCATATTATGCATGTGGATTTTTATTCAATGTTAAGCTCACAACCTTATATTTATCCTGTAGTTTTAAATACACCTATAACTAATTTGAGTTTTGTAATATGTTGAGATAAAAAGATATTATTAGCCATGAAAAAATTTCAGCTGGTCTTAGAAAAGTGTAATATTTGAAATCTGCAATTCTTCATTGCTCAGTATGTACATCCAAAGATAACAGAGTTTGTTTGTTACTTTATATTGAGTATCACCAATTTTTATATAATCAAATGTTTGTATATTGTTTCATGGTGTACTTTTAATAAATTTTTTTCAATAACTTAGCAGTTACCATTTTTCTTAACTGGAATTCTCTGCCCATTATGGTTGGATCTCATAACACAATTATGACAAATATGACCAGTGTTTGAAATGTTTTCAGATATTAGTTATATACAGCGATTTAGATTCTTTAAATGCATTCTGTGTTGATGTTACAGTTGAAAAATGTATTCGCCTGTTTCCTCCAGTGTTCTAAATAGGTGCGTAAAAGCATCATGTTAGGAAATCAAATAATCAGACTTTCTCTTTTTCCTGCCTTGGCAGAGTGCTTTATACCAATTTACAGTGTCATTGCTGGTTACAGCAGAATAGCTGTTTATATATTTCGGAGAGAGGCAGAGAAGCTATCTCTTGAATGAGAATATAACAGGAAAAGAACAAGTTCTTGAGATTCAAAACCCGATCTGCAATCAGAGGGAGCATACTGGGTTAGCATTAGTAATGTCAGGTGCATTAATTGTGTTAATGTCACTTTTAAACTGCAAAGGAGACTCAGCCAGTAAGAACAGCATGAAGGAAGGCCTTGCTTGTGTCTGCCTACTGATGAAGAAAGAATACATGAACCAAACACTGATTAACTTACCCATCTGCTTTACATTTTAATGAAATGGGTGGATAATTGCTCTATTTTGCCTTTTAGTGACAACCTCTACATTAAAACACAATAGGATCTATTTGTAATATACACTTAATTTTACAAAAATGTAGGCTAAATTTAGAGCCCCTGCAAGAGTATAACTGCAATCTGTGAAAGTCGGTATCATACCTCTAGCTGTGAAGGCAAATAAATCTTCTCATGCCAAAAGACAAGTAGTATAAAGAAATTGGTTTACTCTTTTTATGACTATTTAGTAGGATGAAAAGTCCAAATCATTAGTAGTTGATAACAGTCATTTAGTCATGTTCAGTTTTCAGTTTAAAAATCAAATCTTTTTAAAAGAGGTTGTAGGTATTATCATTTTTATGTCTCTTAAAAGTACATTGCTGGACTAGGTAGCCTTCATGAACCTTGAGGAAACATTTAACTCATATCAATTGAATCGTTGGGGTGTTGGTTTCTTACTCTGAGAAATACAATTGATAATATTTACCATCTCTTGTCCACAAATTTTCAAAGGTTTCAACCAGTTTAAAATTTTTTGTCTAAGTAGACATACTTTTTGCCATACAGTATGTTCATTTCATTCTTTCTCAAAGCACCAATAATGAATTGAAACTCTGACACATGTTTTTACAATCTGAAACCTCCATAACAATGTGTCCTTGCCCAGGTATTGTGCTCTAAGCCAAAAGTCCCACTAGTACTGCACACAGGGTATAGGTGTGTCAAAGACTGACCCCTCAGCTTTTGGGGAGGCCTGATGACTGGTTCGTCCACTAACTTCAGTCTGCCCAATGCACAGAATCATTTTCTATGACATGAAAAATGGTGAGGAAAATGACTTCAACCAAATCCTTCTTCCGTCCAAATGACAAGAAGCCATGATCCTCACCTAATATGACATCAAAAGGTTTTACCATTTCAACAGTGCATATTTGTTATGAAGATAAGTCATTTCTACTCTTGACTCAGAAATTTCTCTGCATGTGATGACACTGGTATAAAGAGTAAATTTTAACTTTGGATGATGCATTCAACTCTTTCAGGCCTCTGGTGTCTGTGCATTACGTATGTCTTCCATAGACTAATGGTTCACAAGGTGCCTAAAAGAGTTTTCAGTTGCTTATTTATATTTTACTTTCTTATAATACAGAGTGTGACCAGGGCGAACTTGCACAAATTAAAATGATTTTTAGACATTAAAATATTTGCGGAAACATTTTTATGTTCTTAGATTTATGTTCTCTAGTCTCTTGTAAAAATTGAAACTTAATACTGCCACTTTTAGTGTCATGTTTTTTTGTTTTTGGTTTTTTTTCATAATTCACAGTTCTGTTTATTCTGTGATGGCATTAAAGTCACAAACAAGACACTAAAAACAAAGAAAACCTATAAACACCACCAATGAAGGGAACTAATAGAACCATGTCTCGTTGGAAAAATCTTTATGCGCCTTGCAGATTAGTGTCATGTTTTGGTGCTTCCTAAGAGCTTCCGAAATTGCTACTGTTTTCCCTAAGTACAACATCTGTCAGGTAGAATTTCAAGGAATGTGTGAACTGTTCATTCTGAGCAATGCATTAATGTGTATTTTGACAAATATAAAGAAACCTACAGATATTACATTAGACCAGCTGAATCCGTTTTATGGTTTCTTTTTTAATTCAAAAGCATCACATAGCAAATAAAATTTTTAAAAATTAAATTTAGTTACAAACTAGTTGTTTCTTATTTTTTTTTCCAGTCCCTTTTTGCTTTCTTTTACGACCACATGAAACTTGAGAAGCCACCTAAAAGCTAAATCATTTAGTGGAGTTGGGCAGTTCCCAAGTGTCCAACAAGAAGGCCTGATTTAGGCTGCGATGGCCACTGTCATTCCTGGTGATTTGTCAGAAGTAAGAGATACCCAGAAAGTCCCTTCAGGGAAACGTAAGCGTGGTGAAACCAAACCAAGAAAAAACTTTCCTTGCCAACTGTGTGACAAGGCCTTTAACAGTGTTGAGAAATTAAAGGTTCACTCCTACTCTCACACAGGAGAGAGGCCCTACAAGTGCATACAACAAGACTGCACCAAGGCCTTTGTTTCTAAGTACAAATTACAAAGGTATTAAACTCTATTTGTCTTTCAGATTATATTTTCTATAATGTTGGCCATGTGAAGCCATTGTAAACGTATATATTTGTATACACATTTTTTAGCTGATTTGCAGAGAAGAAATGTTAAGTAGATTAGACATTGGCTAGTTTTAGTATTCTAAATCACATACTTTTATGTGTTAGTGTCTTTGGATTTTTTTAAATGAAATGCTTAATGAGAGTAGAATTTCCGTTTGTACAAAGAAATTACAAGAAAAGGTATGGACGTTTACGTGAGTATATTCAGTCTTGCTCATTTGCTTTTGTAATAATAGCTAAAAACCAGACAGTGAAAACTAAAGTGGCAACTTAAATGGCTCAAGTTCTGCAGTATTTAGGTATATTAACTATCCTTGTAGTATATATTAAGTTTAAAAGTGTCCATTATTAGGGAAATTCTGTCTTAGCATAGTAGTTTAGCTTCCATTTGAAACGTGAATACCTACTATTTTTGTCACGATACTTACAGAGTGTATCTGTGTTTAAAGGCACATGGCTACTCATTCTCCTGAGAAAACCCACAAGTGTAATTATTGTGAGAAAATGTTTCACCGAAAAGATCACCTGAAGAATCACCTACATACACATGACCCTAACAAAGAGACGTTTAAGTGCGAAGAATGTGGCAAGAACTATAATACCAAGCTTGGGTTCAAACGTCACTTGGCCTTGCATGCTGCAACAAGTGGTGACCTCACTTGTAAGGTCTGTTTGCAGACTTTCGAAAGCACAGGAGTGCTGCTGGAGCACCTTAAATCTCATGCAGGCAAGTCGTCTGGTGGGATTAAAGAAAAAAAGCACCAATGCGAGCATTGCGATCGCCGGTTCTACACCCGGAAAGATGTCCGGAGACATATGGTGGTGCACACTGGAAGAAAGGACTTCCTCTGTCAGTATTGTGCACAGAGATTTGGGCGAAAGGATCACCTGACTCGACATATGAAGAAGAGTCACAATCAAGAACTTCTGAAGGTCAAAACAGAACCAGTGGATTTTCTGGATCCATTTACCTGTAATGTTTCTGTGCCTATAAAAGATGAGCTCCTTCCGGTGATGTCCTTACCTTCCAGTGAACTGTTATCAAAGCCATTCACAAACACTTTGCAGTTAAACCTCTATAACACTCCATTTCAGTCCATGCAGAGCTCGGGGTCTGCCCACCAAATGATCACAACTTTACCTTTGGGAATGACGTGCCCAATAGATATGGATGCTGTTCATCCTTCTCACCACCTTTCTTTCAAATACCCATTCAGTTCTACCTCATATGCAATTTCTATTCCTGAAAAAGAACAGCCATTAAAGGGGGAAATTGAGAGCTATCTAATGGAGCTACAAGGTGGTGTGCCCTCTTCATCCCAGGATTCTCAAGCATCGTCATCTAAACTAGGGTTGGATCCTCAGATCGGGTCCCTCGATGATGGTGCAGGGGACCTCTCCCTGTCAAAAAGCTCTATTTCTATCAGTGACCCCATAAACACCCCAGCATTGGATTTTTCTCAGTTGTTTAATTTCATACCATTAAATGGTCCTCCCTATAATCCTATATCAGTGGGGAGCCTTGGAATGAGCTATTCCCAAGAAGAAGCACATTCTTCTGTGTCTCAGCTCCCCCCACAGACCCAGGATCTGCCCGATCCTGCAAACACTCTAGGTCTGGGATCTCTGCACTCACTTTCAGCAGCTTTCACCAGTAGTTTAAGCACAAGCACCACCCTGCCACGTTTCCATCAGGCTTTTCAGTAGGATTCCAAGACATGGGTGTATTACAAAAATGTATGTGTAGCCCTGCCTTAGCTGACCATTTTTATTTTAGTGCCTACTTAAAGACAGTATAAAGTTTCTGCTTTTGTATAGTACCAGTTTTCATTAAGCCAGTATAAAATAGGAGTTAGCTTCGGAACCATTTGTGTTCAGTTATGTTTACCTGGGTATTTTGTCCTGATTCACTGCCAATTGTCATACTTTGATATTATTTTTCATATAGGAAAGCCATTATTATTAGTGAAGCCTTACAAATCCCACATTCAAATTACCTTTTGATCTTAGAATTTTCATTTTTGTCAATAACAATGGCTCTACCTTTTGACATTTGGCTCATTAAAAGTTTTTGCATTAGAATGTCATTTTCTAAAATGTGTATGAATAACCCAAGAGGTTTTAAATTTTTACTAGCCTCCAAATGGATTCATAATCACACGAATTAAGAATCCAGTTTGAGGAGATAACAAATGTTTCTTAGATATGTCATAATTTCAGGTCAGTATGTTTTGAAGACTTGCTATTGTCTGGCTCAAATATTTGCTGTCTTTGTTGTGCACATATAAGGAAAACAAAACCTAAACACAAAGCACCAGTTCTTACAGCAAAAAGAGACTCCTAGTAAGGTGACACGGCATTCCATGTTACTTAATAGTTGGCTTTAAATTAGTACACAGGATATTTTGCCACGTTTCAAACTTTTTAACTTGCTCTCTTTCCATTTAATGTACGAATGTGTATGGCATTGGAGTCTTTAGAATCAGTATACAGATAGATCTCTTTAACCTTTTCTACCTTTGAAGGCCAAAGGGTGGGTCAAGTGCAGCCAGCAGTTTTATTTTCATTGTCAGTCCATAGTTTGTCCAGAATCTAGAGCCATTGCGGAACACAGATGTCAGGTGTATTTATCCCAGAGTGGACTGCCTCAGCTTATGTGGTGTGATAGGCATTCTAAGCAGGAAGGTAGATGTGAAGCACACAGTTCAACTTGGGGACTTGCGTAGGTGTCATGCCCCCTGTTGCCAGGGTTGGAAACTCTGCTCTTTACGAGTAAAGTAAAAGCATATCGCTTATATCACTTGTAGCTGAATTTGATACAGTTTTCTTTCCCATAAGAGCTAAAAGCATAAAACAAAACAGTGCTGCCCGTGTTATCTTTCTTATTCAATGTTAATTCATCTTTTCTTGCTATTTTCAGCTTAGAGAATTTAAACTGAAATGCATTAGAAAACGATTTGAGGAATGACCACAAAGTTTTAAGCAGCTAAAAATATATACAATAAAACCCCACTTTTACACATCTCTGGGAAATGCAAGGAATATTGCAAATAAGTTGAATTTTTGAAGGGGAGAAAAGTAAAGTAAAGCGGGCACTATCTTAGTTAATGTGAAAATAATCAAGAATATTGTGTTCACTAAACAAAATAGTTATTATGGGCTTTCCTCATGTTAGATAACTACCATCATCTTCTGAAAGTTCAAATTGTTATATTTTTCTAATCAGTTGGAACATCAACCTAAAAAACATATGTATTAAGCACTTGTTATTAACACCTTGTTTTGGGACCTTGTCTGTTGTTGGGACAGGTGAGGGGGTGGGTGGAAGGTTTATAGAATCGTATATATCTCTTTAAAGGAAAAAAGAAGAAAAATATTTCTGAGCACTCAGACCAATGTGGAAGCTTCTTTTCCCTTTTATAAGGCCAATTATCACTGCAGATTACAATGTTTACCACAAATTTCTGAAAATGAGTGCAGATTACTGAATATAATGCATTATTTAAAATATTTGGGAGTAGTATAATTTGTGGAGAAATGTAAATTGTAATAATGTAAGTGGGGGTTTCACTATATTAGACACACACACACACACACACACACACACACACACATCGCACTTCATAGAATCAAAGTTGCTATCTTAAGGAACTTTGGCTCCTGATATTTTATCATGCTCCTATTTTTTTTAAATCCTAGGAGCAGTAGTTTTTATACTTATGTATTTAAATTTTATTATTAAAAATGACATTTTATTAAAAAAAAGTGTTCCAAAGGCATTAAAATTATATATATTAATAAGGAAATACGTTTAAAAATTTTTCAAGCAGCTCCTAAACTTTTGATTAGGAGACTATTTGCTCTGAAAGTAGGCTTTTAGCTCTGCTTTGTTACTGCTTCCTTTAGTTTCTATGAAACAGATTGCTTACCTAAATCATTAGTTGAATGAGTAGTGTTCAATATTGCTTTAATCACCATTTTTAAAAATGGAAAAATTTGGTGACAGAGCACAAATAAATAGAAAACCTATTTTTAAATAGAAATCACAAGTACAAGTGTGGAAGCACTACTTTATTTTATCTAAAATTTGTTTAAGGAGAAGTCAAATTTAATAAACCGAGACGTTGGCATTAGTAGGCTGTATTTCACTGCTAATAAAAAAGGGGGGATTCCAGGATTTATTAAATAAAGCATTTTAGAAAAGGGGAAAGGCGCCATATATGTTTATATTTTTAGCGTAATTCTTATCCTGCATGGAATTCAGAAACATGGAGACACACTTTTCAGGGCACCCGTGTTAAAACTGTGGAGTCTTAATTTTCATACATACACTGCTTTGCCTATAGCTACCCCACAGACTTGACATTAACATTTCCAAGTAAGAGGGAATTCAGCTAATTTGCTTTTAAAATTGACTATAGTGGTCACTAAACCCTTTTTGAGAGAATTTCTATTAAAGATGAGACAGACTCCTTTATTTTAATTGCACAATAGTCTAATAAGAATGTAACACAGAATTGGCTTTTTTTTTCCCTAGAAAAAAATTGACATTTTATGTCCACTGCATATGATTAAAAATAATTATTGCCAATGCTGTTTCCATTCTCTGGTGGCAAGAATCATCATCCTTGAAATTTCTACTAGTGCCTTTGCTTGGTTAAAAAATAAAAGTTTATGATTAAGTAAAAATATTTCAGTTTAGAATTTGGACCTCGGACAAGATATTGAACATCATTCAGTTTGAACTTCCACATGTGTGTGCAAATTTAATCATCAGACACGGAAGCGTGGCTGTGGAAGGATCTTGGCACAGTAAGCAATATTATCCATTGATATATGCAAATATCATCTTTATAGTTATTGGTCAGTGTTAACATTTGCATTTTAAAATCCTATTAACAAGTTCAGTTTTTCAAAACTTCAGTTGTCCTGGCTGATCATGCACCACTCTTTGTGCAACTTTTAAATTTCATTTAGTGTTTCTTCCAAACTATGTATTTTTGCCCATTTGTTGCTTGTGCTTTATTATTCTTAGTCATTTGTGGAATATAGTGATATATTGTGTTAATTTGGACAGTAGCGGTTTTTAAAAACCATTTACTGACTGAAACATGAGCCAGAGCTGATTGCTTTATTAAGCTAATAATGAATGTTAAAGAGTACATATTTTCAGGATCATTCATCTAGTAAGCAATACACGTATATAGGCCAATATTTTTTTAAAAAATAGAGCTTGGTCAACCTCTATACTACACATATTACAAGATATAGCACTTTCAAAACGAATCTAAACCTTTACAGAAACTTTCTTATAGGTTATGCCTTTTATTTTAAGACTTATAATTTGTTTCAAGTGCCATTAGATGATATATATGTAGGCCTTTGATATATAATGCTTTGTGTTCAAAAATGGTAGATGGTATTTTAAACAGGTACATTTTTACAGTGTTTTCTTATCAATTTGCTATATTGCACAGAATCAGTGTGTGTCTTTTCATAAGGTTTTACAATGGTTTATTTTTTTACAAGGTTTACGTGTCTCAAAACACACTGTCTTCCCAGTATGTAAACTTAAAAATACCAGTTCACCCAAGTTGCTTCTAGCCTACTGAGATCCATGTGGCATTGGAGGAGAACTTCTAAATGCTGAGTATTCTTCATTAGCAATGGCAGACTGTTATCTCTGACAAATGAGTGCCTAAGTTGATTTTATCTTATTTTTCTCAATCTGTCAGCAGCCTTGTCAACAACACAAATAGTTTGTTGTGATTACATAGATCCACATAAGATGTGTAGTTTGTGCTGAAAACCCATCCAGAGCTCCTTTTTGGTCATGTAAAACAAGATGCTAACAACATGAAGGCACGCTTAGATCACCCTTACCCCCTTCTGCAGCGTTGTCAGCCCTCTGAGGATGGAAGGCAGTGTCTTTTGATCAGTTATGTAGCTCTAGAAATGACAGAACTATTGCTAATGTATAAAACACTTCATTATATAAGCTTCAGTGGTACAGATGAACCAGAATGAATGTCTATCTTCTCAGAAACACTCCTTCAATATTATGTTGGATCATGCTGCTAATGTAACTTGGGATACAACTCTTCATGGTGCTACAAACTTCTCTGTCTCGTTCAGTCGTATTTTTTTTTATCCATAGGAAAAAAGGACTTCATTAAGTGTAAAGGTGTACAATATATTTTTATACTGTGACTTAATTTGTCATTAACAGACTTACACCACCCACCACAATGTATTCATGTGCACTTGCAAAAGGAAATCTTGGACGTGCAAATGTTACCAGAACAAACCCAGCTTTCATCCACAATGTGACTGTAACTCAAAAAGAAAAGTGGGCTTTATAATATGGTGTGGAGTGAAGAACATGCTGTATGTTACTAACGGCCCTTTGAATTTAACAAAAACTGGGAATCCATTAGGAAATGGATTGCATCGTGCCTGAACGTAAGCTGGACTGCTGAAATTGTATTTTTAGCTGATGAAAAAGTGTTTGGACTAGTACTCTGAAAAAAATGTTCTTACGATAAAGTTTTGAGTCAAAATAGAAAACAAAAAAATCTGCATTCCAGGCTGAATTTTGTATATTTTTATTGCATTTAAAAATCGCTGTTCTGTGATATTGGGGAATCAAGTGGCTTATCATGTATATCATGTACTTAAAATGTATTCACAAACTACTGTTGTATTTGTATAAAATATAGACAAAGATCGTATTTTTCGTGTGTGTATAAGCTCTGTAAAATAGCAGTCCCATTATGAAGCTGCAGTGATACTACATTTTAAACATCCACATCCAAAGAAGCAGGCTATTTATTGTCCAGTTACCCAGATATAAAATATTAATTTGCTGCTAATTAAACAATAGTACTGCAGCTTCTTGTGGCCTACAGTGTTATGTTTTCTGTAAGAAAAAGATATGTGAACTCCACAAAATATATGAATAAAATTATAGAATGGCTTTAGATAATGTAGATCTTCCTGAAATTTTAATAGGTGATAAATTTCTATTTGGTATAACATTTTTTTCTTCACTTTGAATTTTAGATATTGTCTCATTTCATAAATACAAGATTCTAATAGCTGGGTCTAAGACAGTAGTTTGTTATTGGAGTGAAATGTAAAGTTCTAGGGTTTCTTTTTTGTTTTTGTTTTTCTAAAAACTTTTGTACCTTTAAAGGAAGGATAGAAGTTGTAAATAAAAAAGTCAAAACATGATGCATCAAAACTTTAATACAGGTGAGAATTCAAAAAGGAATTTCAAGAAGGCTATCAGTATAAATTGGTAATGTTTCTTGTTCATGTGAGATAAAATTGGCATTAAGCAGTCCTTGAACACTTATTGTCTGTCAGTACTATAAATTATCCTTTCAGAAGTTTCCCGGGGCTGTTGGTCCAAAATTTGCTGAAAATCCTCCCTTGACAACTCATCGGGACCAAAACAACAAACACACATGTTATTTCATCTAAAACTCATCAAACAGTCACTAATGCAGATTCAAAAGGAGGTAATTAATTCTGAAGATTCAGTTAATAATCTGCTCAAGAGCCAAGTATATAAATAATTTTTAATGTATCTCATAGTACCGCTTTCAGTCTTAGAGGAAAAATTCCTCCTTTACCTTTGGCCCTCCTGTTTCAAGGCTCTCCTATTTTCAGAGAGAGAAAGAAAATGAACAGTCATTCTAATGTTGGCAGTGCCTCTTTTCACATGCTTAATTCCAGCAATGTAATATTTCTTTGTTAATTCTTAGTATCAACACTAAATACATTTTTATTTAAATTCATACATATGAGATATTTCAAGGACCATTTATAGAAGGAAAATGCTTTTGCTTTTTATAGTTAGACTACTCTGAAAAAGTATGTTTGGGATTAATTCACTTAAGGTATAATCTCCTTTATGGAAAAGTAATTAGAAATGCAGTTTGCTTATTACACCATAGACCCAGTGGGGCTAAAAGACTCATTTGTGTTATTGTTAAATGAAAAGTTTGTACTTGGTTTACCATTAAGGGGCGGAAAAAGTTCAGTCTGGTTATGGACAGCTTGAGTTTTGCTGTCACTTTTCCTTAAACATTTATTCAACAAACATTTCTTAAGTAAAAGGCCCCTTTGGGCTAAGTTCTAGGGTGGTTCCAAAGAAAGAAGGTGGTTTCCTGAGCAAGGATCCTAGTGAAGACGGCAGCATCAGTGCAACTTCAGGAAAGCCTCAGACCTCTATTGAGCCATGCCCAGTTACCCCTTTTTTTTTGTAGGTCAGAAATGATCAGATGCTGGCAATTTCAGCCTAAAACTAAAAACCCAGAATGTCTTGACTTCACCTGCATTCTGTTCACAGAGGTCAATTCACTGCTCTAAAGATGTTTGACTCTTGGCTAGAGTGATGGTTAAGTTTATGTGTCAACTTGGCTAGGCCACAGTACCCAAACCAGATGTCTGGTCTAGTCAATCACCAGTCTAGGTGTTGCTGTGAAGGTATTTTTTAGATATGATTAACATTTACAATCAGTTGACTTTAAGTAAAACAGATTACCCTCCACATGTGGGTGGGCCTAATCCAGTCAGTTGAAGATCTTAAAGGAACTGTGTTCTCCCAGCAAGAGGAAATTCTGCCTTTGGACTATGAGCTGCAACATCAATTCTTCCCTGGGTCTCCAGCCTGCTGGCCTGCCCTGCAGATTTCAGACTTGTCAACTTCCATGATCACGTGAGCCAATGTCTTAAATATGTAT